TATTGATTATTGATTGATTATTGATCCTTATCACCACCAAAAACTAATCACTTCTTAGTGAACCCATTTCTCACCTACCCTGAACTTTTCATCAAAATCGGTCCATAACTTTGTGAGTTATGTTGATGATTGATTTTTTATTATTGATTATTGATTGGTTAGTGATCCGGATCACCAACAAAAACTAATCACTTCTAAGTTAACCCATTTCCCACCTACCCTGAAAATTTCATCAAAATCGGTCCATGAATTTTTTAGTTATGTTGATGACAAACAAACAAACAGACAGACGGGTGAAAACATAACCTCCTTGTAATAAGAAAATACCACCTATCATTAAAGACACATTAGGTTTTTTTTTTTTTTTCGAATCCTTGCCAATAAAGCGAGGCAACTGTTTTGTATTTGTATATCTCTCGTCTCCCCCGACCACCACCACCCTCCCCCCCCCCCCAATCCCCTCACTCCTTGAGAAAAAAACTCCAATGACCAGCAACGAGTCAAGCGGGTCAAGGTCTAAAATTGAAGTTTATCTTGGATGAATGCAATCGGTGAACAGTTATTTTACATTTCATCAACTGGACACAATCATAATGAACAAGAGTTAGTGGATCTGTAAAACTGACTTAGACCTCTCTCGACCTACTTGGGGGCCTGTAAACATTCTGCGACATGTAAATGTAGTAGCTGACTACTCATGTTAAAAAGCTAGAAGTGACAGAATCAACCGTATAGACTACAACGTTGACAATAAGGTAGGCCTACTGAGTACATGTAATTGGTGATTTATACTATAGGCTATAGGCCTATATGGCAGGGTATGTTTTACGTCTTTAAATAGAAAATGTAACTCTCAAGCCTACTTCAAATGAATAATACCAGAATGCACATTTGTCAGTTTTGCTTTTAAGTATTGTCATTTGTAATATGCTAAAGTGTCTTTGAACTCCTGCTGAATTCTACTATAATCTTATTATACTGGTATGTGTTTATATAGGCCTACTAGTACTATCAGCCGTACTACAAGTATGCAGGCAGAGCATACAGTAGCATGCTACATATAGGCCGCTGCTTATGTTAATTCTATTTTCACTTGTGTGAGGTCACCCTCCTTCGGGTTGCGTCAGCAAATTCATACAGTGCGGTATGGTCAGAGCTACATGTATGTGTCCCCTTTTATATGGACATTTGGCAGTCACTCATTATAAGCAGAAATACTTTCAAACCGTTCGCTTACGGCTAACCTGGACGTAGGCCTTCATCAGACTGATGTGAGTAGATGTTATTACTCACTTAAAACGCTAGGTGGTAGGCCTATAGCGTCCTTGACCCGCTTATTAATGCCAGGTAGCTCGCTCCTCTTCCTCCCCTCCCCTCACGTCCTAAATTCTTTAATTCTGGGTCCTAGTAAGCAAACGGTTTGAAAGTATTTCAGCTTTTGTTTTGTAATTGTCATATATGTTCCAGCTACCAAGCTGATGAACATTTTTGCTCGGTACTGACGGATGTAAGGAGCAACCTAATTTATTTAATTGTCATTTTTTCCTTTTCTCTTAGAGATGTCGTCCTCCTCCACAGGAGAAGCAAATGACGTTTTCATTCGCCCTGCGACAGGAGCAGACTTAGAAGCACTGTTTGCTTTGACCATTGAAATTGGTTGGATTGTTTCCAAAGAGCTGTTTACCGCGCTGTTTAACATTGTGGAAGACGGCCACTATGTTGTCGCTGATCTACATGGGAAAATAATCGGTGAGATAAAACCCTGCATGGATCAAATTGTATTCGTCGTTGATCGATATATGCCACGTTCTTAATAGCTGTATATAAACTTCGTCCTGTTTAGCTGCTGTGTCCTGACGGCCGTATTGCTATCAGTGACTTTAGTATACATGTACCACGGCGCGATACGGAATAGAATATGACTACTTTCTCTGGAATAAGTTAGATCGGCTGTTAGTTCGCCTACGACTTTCAACGTTGTAAAAATCTTATGGGGCGAACATAAAACTGAAGGCTTTTTAAAAGAATTGTAATATGTTTGCTGGAAAAAGTAAAGAATAAAATATAAGGAAGACAATGTGCTTGAAAAATGTATTAATTATCAAGATAAGTATTAAATTACGACCTGTTGTAATAGACTACTGATGCCTCTTTATATCTTTTTATAATCATCATTTATCTAAATGTGCATGACTACAACTGAGCAGTGGGCTTTCGTAAAGTATCTTCGGTAAATCTGATACAATTTGAGACTTGCAATATTAATCACGGTGTTTTTATGTTGTTGTACTTTATTTTTGACCATTTAAAAAATTATAAGTCATAGGTTCTGCGTACGGCCCCGGTAAGCAGTTCCTTTTTTGAAATCTTCGAGAAAGCACTTTTTCTATGTGCCAGCATGTGTTTTCTTCTGAGCAGTGGATTATATAACAGAGTGATGCTTAACCTTTACCTTTCGTTCCCGCAGGTTCACGATTCGTCATCATTTTGGACGAGAGGACGGCCATGTTTGACTTCCTGATTGTGGCCAAAGAACACAGAGGAAAAGGAATAGGTGAGTAAATAACTGTACTATATGTCACTGACCGTGAAAGGTCTTGTGGAACAAGTCTATATAATTGCTTTTCCATATTATCATTCCACTTATGACTTAATTGCGCTCAATCATTCACACTATCGAGTTTTGGTTTTATATAAATTTTAAATTTCAAGTGCAAGAAAAAAGTAAAAAGGAGACATGGTTAAAACGTGTTGTTTAGTTTCAAAGTGAATTCATAAATCGGCGTATCTGTCGATGTTAATTAATTAATTAATTATTTATTTTAGCGAAGAAAATAGCAGAGGCCACCCTGAAGATTGCTGGGGATAGAAATATAGTAGTTTGGGCACTTCCTGAACGAGTTGAGCCGAACTTGAAGGTCGGCATGAAGAACGGGGGCGGAAACTTGTACCGCTGTGACTGCCGCCTGGATGTGGGGACCCTGTACGTTGACAAGCAACAAGAGACGGCTTCAGTGAAGGTTGTTCCCACGAGTGAGGTCGACTTCGAGGCCTTACTCGCCTATGATACGTCTGTCAACATGTTTCAGCGGAGAAAATTTCTGAAAGTTTGGCTGGCGAAGCCATCAGCCGTTTCTTTCGCTGCTCTCACAGATGGCGGTGAGGTCGTGGGATACGGTCAGGTGCAAGACGCGCCAGAAGCTTATTCCATATCACCGCTTTATGCTGATAACCCGTCTGCGTTTGTGCTGCTACTGAAAGCCCTCATAGAATCGATTCCAAAAGATTCCAAGGTTTCTATGATCATAAACGTCGACTATACTCCTTGGAATGAGATTAAGGAAAGGAACAGAGACACAGTTAATTTTATAAAGGATAAACCAATCCAAATGATGTACACTAAAGAAAATTTGATATTACCCAAATTTGGGAGCGTTTTTGCATTAGCTTGTACTGGAGCCTTTCCAGTATGATAGACTTTACATGTACAAGGACCTACTTAGGCTGTTCTTTGTGTATTTAGGTATACTGAATGCGTCCTATGTAATTATGGACCAGGAATGCTGATATAATACTCAAAGATGAGCGAGATTAACAGAATCTCTTTATACATGTTAGTGGTTGCGTTTCAGAATTATGTACAAAATTGTTCTGTTAAGGGTATTTTATCAGGAGTGTATCTGTGGGGCGACAGGGAGACCACGTGAGCTTTGTGTCACTTAAATTCGTCTCCGCCCCTGCGAAAATTTGTCTCATTTAATGTTCACTTACGGTTCTTAATCTATTCTAGAGCATTAGGTGTATTTTTTTTATAGTTCTAATGTTGTTCTGCAATGAATGTAACAGTTCGAGAAGTGTTTTAGGAAGTCCTTCAGAATGTCCTAAAACAGATTAATAATATTTTTTCAATAAAAGAGAAAAACATTATGTTCTATGACAAATCGAAAACCGTAAGTGAGAGTTTAATGGGACAAATTTTGCAGGGGCACTGAGGTTTTTAATCATTGTTATAATGATAAGATTTAAGGTACATTTGTCATTATTCGTGTTGTGCAATATGTGGATTAATAGATGTCGACTGGTATGTACTGGTGTATGAACGCTTTTGAATTGATAAATAAAATGTCTGGTAAAATCGTGATTAAAGGAATAAAAACTCTTCGTATGATATCTACATTTCACAATAAAAACATTGTGAATAACTCATAGAAATATAATATATTCTGTTTTACCACAAAAACGGCAGTTATAGCTATTCCTTCTGATATCTGGGCTTGTCTTTAGACCACTTGGCCTACATTGGTGGCTATACTCTGTTAAAATCTCTTAAGAGATTTTAACAAAAAACCAAACTTTTTAGAAAAAAAACAGGGACTAACTTTGAATGTAAAAATGGATTCATTAACCATTGGTAAGTATGGGAAAATTGTTGTTTACTCCAGGAAAATTCAACGAAGAGTTATTATCCCTTTAAGTATGTGGACTATGATGGATGAGAGTTCTGACGGTAGAGGGAGCCTGTGCATGAGGGTCCGTTTTGATTGGTATAAAAAAGCATTTCCAAAGTGAAGAAAAACTTAAACAATGCAGTCTCATACATCGATATTGATCTCATTAAAAGCGTGCTCACGTGTGCTTGAGTGTGCATGAAGATGCATACGTTGTTCATATATCACTCGCTTTTGCGACCGTGATCACAAGACGGCACATGTACTGGTAGATATAATACATGTACCACTAATACACGGCGCTCCTTATTGTTCCAAACACTCGCAAACGCATGGACAAAATGTATGGTTACAAGAAAGAGAGACCAGAGGCAAATAAATAATCACAACTATATATACTCGTTCTGTTCTTAGTCTGTTTTTTTTTTTTTTTTTTTTTTTTTTTTTTTTTTTTTTTTTTAATAAACTGCAGTGGAAGAACACTCAAGTACGTTTACTTGCATACAAATAACCTAAATCGGAGTGCTAAAACGCGGTCACGAGGAACATGGCTGATAACCTACATGCATATAGACCACAGACGGGGGCAAGTTTTCCTTATCCGAGGCGGTTCAGACTTTATCTGGCAGGGTGAAATACTCCATAACCTGGCCTGGACTGCTGAACCAGTCTATTCGTATACCCCTGGTATTTGAAGGTGACCATGGCCGATAGACGAGCAAAGAAAGGTATCAGTATGCCTATTATCCTCACTGTTTTAATGGTTTCATAATAGTGTTCAATGTTTCCTTCAGCAAGGAGTTTCAACAGAAACTCCTTGCCGCCAGCTACATGTGCGTACATGTACATAGACTACAAACATGTTGTTGGCAATGTGTTCCATACAGTACGGGGTAAATATCAGTTAGTTCGTGTACAACCTAATCGGATGTTTTTTTCTTTTTTTCTTGACTGTTATGGTTGTGGTTGACGGTCATGATATATAACTTAGCTTTGCCACGTATAAAAATTATTACCTCCGCCAAGGAGATAATCTTTTCACCCCTGTTTGTCTGTTTGTTTGTTTGTCTGTCTGTCATCAACATAACTCAAAAGGTTATGGACTGATTTTGATGAAATTTTCAGGAACTGTCAGAAGTGGGCCAAGGAAGAGATGATAAGTTTTTGATGGTGATCCGGATCAATAATCAATCAATAATAATCAAAAATCGCTGCCTTGGCGGAGGTCTGCGCTCTCGGAGTGCTTTTCTTGTTAACTTATATAATTTTATAATTGTAATTAAGTGTGTGGAAAAAAATGGAAAGTTGAAATGGACTTATGGTGGATGGCAATGAACAATTGACACCCGAAACTTTATGTGAACATTTCAAAGTGTTTAAGAATTTTAATTTCATGCACGAGCAGTAACGGCGATCGGAATGCGCTACACAAGGTTTGGGGTATTCATGTTTCGCCCCTTTGTCATTCAATGTAGAAATAACGTGTTCTCTGTATATGTTTCTGAAAAAAAATCTGCTGATGTAATAATGATTTGGTATAACTCAATAATTGTTTTATTTTAGAAATCGGAAGTTCTATTTTCTATTTATAATACGCGTATTAAACCAAGCTGACCCTTGGTTGATTTGTTGTAATTTTAAATTGGTTATTGCATATGCACAGATTCCTTATATGCTTCTTGCGAAATCACGTGCAAATTTGCAAGAAGGACTTTAACCACGCAAATGAAATCTATGTGAATTTGCAAGAGCCTGAATACATGTATCTTTTCGGAATCCAGTAACAAACCTAAGTTGTTCTTACAGTTTGCAGCAAATTTTCTGCAGTTTTCAATTTGCTAAGGTATATAATTTGAATTTACCAAGAAAAATGCTTCAGTTTTTCCCATTCTATGCTTCGATCACCATATGCACGTCATAAGTCATTCATAATCACCGATGATAATCATAATTCGTTTTTTTTTTTCGTGATAAGGGCTTGTGGAGCGACTTCAGGCAGGAGAAAGTGTTATCGTGGCGGAGGGATACGTACTTGAATTAGAGCGACGAGGTTACTTGAAATATGGCGAAACTGTTCCAGAAGTGGTATTGGAAAACCCGGATGTGGTTTGTCAACTCCATAAAGAGCTTGTTCATGCCGGAAGTGACGTAGTAATGGCAGTTACGGTAACATGAAACAGAGATTTTGTCAACTCTTTATAAACATAGTGGGACCTTTCTGTTAACATTGCTTTTATGATTTTAAAGAACCCGACAGAAAAAACTACATAAAATGCATCAGTGACAAATTCAGAGGCAAGAACATTTATACAATGTTGATCCAGTAGGCCCCAAGCATCCCTCCCCTATCTTTCCATTCCAACAAAAACTAAAAGGCCATTTTGGCATATATCCTAAAGAATGCATCCAATCCTTTATTTTTACGCTGTTTCCTCTTGATTTCAAGTAGGTGGTCGAAAATTAACCCGCTTTAGGTGCGCAAATGCATGAACCTCGTACATCTACCGGTAGCACTGCAGGCTTTGGCTTGATGCTACTGCAGTCTACTGGTAGACAAAATTAACACCACAGGGAGAAAATCAACATAGGCATACATGTACATGTTCGGTGCCAAGTGTAAATGTTTTAAATGCCCCCAGTATTTAATGTTTTCATGCTTCCAGTACTTTGGTCATCGAGACAAACTAAAAAGAATCGACAGAGAAGATGACGTGGAGAAGCTTCACCGTACAGCCCTTCGAATGGCGCGGGAAGTAGCAGACGAGACGGGAACCTTAATGGCGGGAGACATTTCTAATTCCACTATCTATGATCCAGACAATCCAACAATTAATGCGTACGTGAAGGAAATATTCAAGGTACATGTTGGAAGGCAAGGATGTTGTAACGGAAAATGTTCAATATCGTCACGACAGGCAATGGGCTAAGAATGGCTTGACGTAAAAAATGTTTTCACGTGTCATTCTATTATTACTCACTATATACCAGTAAAACGACAAAAGCTGAACTTTAAGTATGATGAAATTACAACCCATTCCCAATGACACTATCGTTTTTACATAGATCGATTCAACTTCGTGGGGAATTTCGCTGAATGCAATCATATTAAAGGTTAACATGCCTCCTCCTGGCGTTGAGTAAATTGCAGAAAGGCTGATGTTTTATACGAGTGCGTTTGGAAACAAAAGAAGGCGTGTCATTCAGTTAATCTGATTGCATTAAGCGAGTGTCCCCGTTGAGTTGGATCGATCTACGTAGGACAATAGATTCATTGAAAATGAATTAATTTGGGGAACCTATGATTGATACTATCTGTGCATCTCTTCAGGAACAAGTGGTGTGGGCGGTGGAAGAGGGTGCCGACTACATCGTGGGGGAAACCTTCCGCCATTTTGGAGAGGCCATGATGGCGTTGGAGACAATTCAAGAGTTTGGCCAAGGTACAGTGTTCCACATTTGAGATTCAGGGGCGGATCCAGGATTATTTAAAGGGGGATCCAGTCTTTTTTTTAAGTGGAAATTTTTGGTGTTTTGGTGGTCGAACGGTGCCATTTGGCACGGTTTAGAACTATGATTCAGCTATTCAAAATTCTAAATCAAGAGGGATTATTGGTGTGATTTTTTTTCAGAAACTGAAGGGAGGTCAGGACCCCCCCCCCACCCCACACACACACACACACACACACACACACATCCCCTTAAATCCGCCACTTCAGATTGGTAGGCCTAATTGACTTGAACGGATCATTTGACGTCATGATGTCCCATTAAGTTATCCCCTATCTGCTATCCTACCAACCTTTCTATAATATGATTGATTATCCATGGAAGCTGTTGATTCTTTGCGATAGTGAATTCAAATGATCCTTATTTATAGGCCAGCATAGTGCCTACAAGTAAAACAGAAAAAAACACTTGCTCGTATTTTATAGTGATTGTATAATTTTTGTTCATAGATAGTTTCCCCCTTCTCTATATCCTTTCAAATTCACTGGACTCGGTAGGTGATGCATATATGCACATTTCACAGCAAGGTTTACTGTCAATACTTTCATTATTTTTGGAGCTTTGATGTCACCCTTATAAATGCCATCCAAAACTGTCACCCAGAAATAATGGATTCTTTCGTTTTCCGCTTTCTTTTTCGCCACACCATGAAATTTAAATACTAGTATTGGCAAAATTTTATCTCACCATTCCCTTCGAGATTATATTACATGTTCTTCAATTTGTCGTCACTGCACTGGAAGTTTTCAGCTAGCCAGCCGCGTCATGTGGCTGGACATGACATCATACCATTGGTATGACGTCAAGGATAAACTCCTTATGCACATCCCAAGGTGTCCCAGCAGTTATTACCATAGTTCCATACAAGGACGTAACTGTAGATGGCGTCCCAGTACCGGAAGCGGTGAGGAGGTTGGAGGCCGCTGGTGCTGCTGCGGTGGGTTTAAATTGCGGTAGAGGACCGGAGACGATGCTACCGTTGATAAGGGAGGTCAAGAAGGTCTGCCAGGTAGGGTTTAGTACATGTACTGTATATTGTGTTATAGGCCTATTGTATATGTAGTCACATTTCAAAAATTGTATATTGTGTTATTATATCGTACATGTAAGACCCATTTCGAAATAGTATATTGTATATTTTGTTATATTATGCATGAACTACCATTTCGAAGTTGCATATTGCGTTATATTGTATATATAGTCCCATTTCGAATTTGTATATTGTGTATTGCGTTATATTGTACATATAGTCCCATTTCGAAATTGTATATTGTGTATTGCGTTATATTGTTCATATAGTCCCATTTCGAAATTGTATATTGTGTATTGTACGTGTTATATTGTACATATAGTCTCATTTCGAAATTGATTGTACAGTTACCATGTACATATCACAATATCGTGTGCATTGAATCACAGTCAGGTGACGGCCAATAAGAAATGATACATTCATTGTGAACGGGCCCTATACAGGTAGTATACCAGTAAGTGACCATTTATGATGTACCGGTATATTCTTTACAGGGTCCTGTTTGCTGTTTACCGGTCTGTTTTAGGACAACCCCAGAGAGACCCGTGTGGCAAGCTCTTTCTAATCCAGGTGAAAAAAGTTTTTAAAAAATAGAACATGTATATGTCGTACGCTAACATTCTGTGCACCACTTTGTAATAAAATTTTTCTAGAGAATTAATAGAGGAGAAGTGTATGAGGAAGGAGTATTACATGGAGAAGGGGTGGCTTGTTATGGCCTTGGGTCGGCCCGCATGACTCCATATCTCCCTGTAAATGCCTTGTATGTAAGTTTAAGGGTGCTTCGTGCGGTCCAATTTTGTCTAGTTAAAGTACTACTAATTTGTGAAGCAAGAAGTTGTCTCTTGATATGAAGCGAACGCATATTCCCGTAAACGCATATAAACCAGTTTTCCAAGTTTCTTAATGACTCAAATGAAGTCGACATGCAAAAGAATAAACCAAATGAATCACTCGGCCAGCCAAATATAACTTTGAAACTGCGCATTATTTAAATTTCTTGTCGTAATCTTGATGTTTTTTACTTTTAGAAAATGCATCCAATCCCGACTACGATATAGGAGCATGGCAGTGTGGTCGCACAGAGATAGGCAAGTTTGCCCAACAACTGAAGGAGCTTGGTATCCAGTACACGGGGCTCTGCTGTGGTAACGCCGCCAATCTCCTCAGGGTGGTGGCGGAGACGTACGGAAGGAGGCCGCCCGCCAGCCGGTACTCTTCATACCCGGATACTTCGGTCAGAAATCGACCCAAGTTTGCACCGTTAAATATGTGAAGTGGCTTCATAGGGGAGGTGATGGCATGTGTGTACATGAGCGTGTACCCCGAAGATAATGGTGATCATTTATTTCTCGAGCACTCCATCGTGACTTGCAATTGCTTTAAAATCGTTAAGACATGTTATCATACTCAGGCCTACCCAACTACCAGACTCGTCACCGAACGATTCACCGTTAGATCGGACCACAGTACCCGTTTTCAAGGTCTGATACTTTATAAGTCAAACTTTAATTTAGTAAAGCAGAGTTCTTGTTGTCAAAAAATTGAGCAACATGTACAACATCATGGACCACACAGTTTTTACCAACTTTACCCAAGTACTAAGAGTTACGAGAGGGGGCGTGCCGCACGGTTAAGATGGTTACATTGACTGCACCTTAGCGAAAGTTCCAGCTGAGATAGATCGATCCTGCTTGACCGATAACTTTTAATCTGAACACAGCCTAGTATAGGATACAAAATTTAAGAACAGACTACTAGCGACTCCTGTAGTCAAAGAGTACCGTGCTCCGTCCTCTACTGTGTCAGTCTAATCTGAGTTAAGATTATTTTAATTATACAAATATAAACATACAGCGGTACTCTAAAACCCCGTACAATCTTACAGAAAAGGAATAATTCACTTTTAATCATTTATTTTTCAAACAAAACTTCAAAAGGTGATTATAATTGCCATGTCAAAATATTCAGTCAGACACTTAAAAGTAACGATTGATTAATAATATGAATTGACAAAAATGGAATAAATGAAAGAGATACACACACTGGACAATAGAAGTGTCACCCCTACTGAACCAATACTTTGGGGGAGATAAATGACTGTGGAATGATATGCTCCTGGTATCATTTTATTAACATCAAATTTCACAAAAAGACCAACAATACAATTCCATGGTACAGCGGTTTTATACTCATTAGTCACATTATAAGTAGACCAGGCATTATAACTTTGATTACTCTGATTCAGGGGGTGACACTTCTATTGTCCAGTGTGTGTACTTATATAAAATGTATTTTAACAAGTATTACAAATTGATATGTGAAGCAGAACGGTGCCATTTTTCATTTTATGTTTCGAATGAATTGAACTAAAGTGTATTGAATGTAAACTTCCAATTAAAGTAATAAATCGCCACACAGATAACATGATGTACATCTGACTGTTTAATAAAGCTTGTCAATAGAAAGACGACTGCTTTCAAAATTGCAGAAGAGATTTGGATGATTTCGCAAGTAGGCCTAGCCTTACATTTTGCACATCTGTCATCCAATATTTTCTGAGCAAGTAAATATTCAGAAATACTGTAAAATGTTTTTTAAAAACAACGCTATTTTAGATTTATTATAAAAAAAACTATTAAAAAATAAAAACGTTTCCCGGGTCTTTTTTACCAGGAATTTGAGCAACATCGAGTCACGTTTCAAAATTTGAAACACCTTGACTGAAATACTATTAAGGCACATATGCGTAGATGTTAAACAATGAATGATAACATAACTAGAGTCATGTTTTTCTTAAGGCGGTTAATAATTTCAATATTTTACTAAATTTAGTGGAACAAGTGACTTCCTGTCCAGTATTTCTCTCCTAAGATCGCCTCTCTCTTTCTGGAGAGCCGAAATAAAGCACTCTTTTTCTTTCACGGTCACTTGGAGTTTATATCTCTCCTTCTTCATGGCGTTAATTTCCTCAAACATTCGAGCAATGGTGGCTTCTCTGTCTTTTATCGTGTTCTTGAGTTCGCCCACTTCCACCATGAGAGCGGCGCGATGGTCTATGAGGGACTCGAGATTAAGCTCCTGGTCGGCGATTTTCGACCGGCATCCAGCCAACTTATCCTGGTCCAATTTCCACAGCCTAGTGGTCTCCTGTAAGTTAGCTTGCGTGTTATGTAATGTATTTGTGAGCTCGAAGTTTTTGGTTGTGAGATCGGAAATCGTTCCCTCGTGTTGAGCAATTGTGTTACGACAATCGGCAATCGTTCTTTCGTGCGTGGCTATAGTGTCGTAAAGTTTCTTGAGAAGGTTGTCCAAGTTGTTTTCAGTCCGGGACAGCAGACTTTGAACTTTGTCCATGAGATTTTGAGCAGGAGCTCGGGAACCTTTATTATCAGTTCCCGTCTTTGGTAAGTCAGCTGAGTTTCGGCACTTCTCGACTCTTTGTTCGACTTCAGCCATCTCCTTTTCTATTTCTGTAATCTTATTCTTGTACTTCTCAATAAATTTGTCTAGATCGCTGCGTATCGGAGCTTGAAATTTCGATTTGGCACATTTCTGTAAAGATCGGTTGGCTTCTTCAATGGTCTCTTCACAATGTCGCTTCTGTACCTTGAGAGCGTTGAGCGCGGCCATATTGCTTTCCAATTGTTCCATTACAATTTCTCCCAATCCCGCCTTTTCTATTTCCCATCTTAGCGGAGTGGCCACCATTTTATCAAGTTTCTGAAGCGTCAAAAGCGTTTCTTTACACAGGGTGGTTTTGAAGTCACAGAGCTCTTTATACTTTCTATCCATAAGTGTCTGCAGGATTTTCAAACTGTCAACGTCAATGGTGAGGGCCATTTTCTCGTCGTCTGTCGTGATGGTTTCTCGTGCTCTATGCAGCATAACGTCACGGCATATCTTTAACTCTCTGACTAGTTCCGACTTATACTTTTTGAGCACGCAAATCTCTTCATCCTTCAGATTATACTCCGTCACTTTAGTTCTTTTTGGCACGCACTGTTTTTTCTTCAAATGCACCATGTGAGAATAATCCGTCCTATACAAAATATCAGTCAGAGCCAATAATCCTGTGGCGTTCTCCTCCGGTGATGGGACGACCTTCTTCTTTTGGGCTAACTTTTTCTGTTGGGATTTTGGAAACGCTTCTGAGATATCCCCACGGTCTTTACTTTGGGACGGGTCGTCGACGACGTCTTCATCGGCATTTGGTTCCAATAAAGCCGGGACGTCTTCGAACTGACAGGTGTTGGACAAAAGATCCAGCTCCGGCTGGGACAATTTTGTCCTGGAGTACAATTTCCGGGTAATGCGACCTATGGCGGCTTCAGGTCGCGAGGTGATGGCCACGTGATCGCTCGTTGACGACGGCTCCCTGGAGGGCGCCACCATTCGTGCTGATGTCAACATTTCCCCGCTGAAAAATAAGAAGAAACTTTTTATTTCGGGATAAAACGTTTAACTTCAAAAGGCATAATCTTACATTGTCAGAAAAAAAAACTACTCCTACGTTTGCCTGAAACCAATTAGTTTTTGAAAAACATGTAAAAACATCTACATGTAAGTGTGAAACAACAGTGCAGGTCTTCGCTTATTAAGTTTCATATTTGAAGTTATATATACAGTACACCATTTTTTTTTGTTTCATGTGGAACTATATTTTAATTACAATTATGCTTTACATTGGTTGGTAAAAGTATCGACGATTTGCATATAATGCCCCGGTAAATAGCATTGCTATATCACTGTATCACTGAAACACTTGTAAGTGGGGCTGAAGGTACCGATTCCCATGCTTCATGTAAAATTTAAAAAAAGTAGTGTACAAAACCAACACAAGATTAAACCACGGCCACAATAAACGTTCCTTTGCGCTCATAAAGAAAAATATTAGGTACTATGTATGTATCTGAGCGGGATAAAAACTACCATGATCACCTTGTCGAATTTCAGAGCAGGCAGGTATTTTATTCCTTAAAGAAATTGTTCATGTTTTTAAATAAATTAAACACGGGTACTCTGGACTTGACTGCCATTCAGAATTTGATCGATCACTTATGCTGGTATAATACAACACAACATGCTGGCAAAATACTCGTCAACATCAATCAGTACAGCAACATGAGAACTATTTATTACACTTTTTATAGTTTCCGTATTTTTATTTTTTCTTCTTTCATGTGACGGAACAAGAAACGTCCATCACCTTATCGACCTTTAACGGGTACCACTAGGAAGCTGAACACATAATGACACGCCTTTTAAGCTTACATAACACCCCTTTCTATAAGAGTTAATAAAAATATTATTTACAAAAACTTGGCAGCGGTTAACCTTAAGGTGTTTCGAGGTTAGTCAAATAGTTATATGGGTACAATAACTGAGCCATATCCGAGTTTGTTGTTCATAGGTTGTTTGTTCAAAATTTCGACTGTTAAATGACAAGGCACCCAGGTATACACAATTACAATATTATTTCATTTACAGTTCTACATGTAGCAGTCCGTTGGTCGATTAAGATCAGTTGGGTAGAAGAGAAACCTGCAGTTTTGTACACATTGACGTTTTACACTAATTTCTATTAGCTTATTAATGCATTATTGATAAAAACAAACTCCCCAAAAAAAAGCAAAACAAAAAAATTCTGGCTAAAATATAGTAGGAAGGTTGCACTGCGAAGCCGACACCACCACCACCACCACTTGTGGCTTATGATAATTAATAATGAAAAAAGCGCACTGTTGTAAAAGCCAGTGTCTAAAGAAATGCAGAGCTGAGATCTCTGTAGATCACTTAAAAATTAACACAGCATTCTGCCAATATAGGTTCAATATTCATGTCACGTTCGAAATATTGATCGTTCTATAGATTTAGGTCAAATGTTGAATTTTGACCTTTGCAAGCGCCCCTAAAATCAATTTAAAGTATGATTATATTTCGCTGAGATTTAATACTCAGTCCATTTTCAGACATCAGCTTACTTAACTTTAAGTTATGGCCAATATTTTGGTGGCTACCTGGTCGGAGTTAATATTGCTTGAAAAAATATCTGTACTACAAGTGGAATATAAAAGTAACGACACTTGATGAATCTTTTTATGATCTTAGTTGATATCAACAATCTAAGAATGGATACTAAGTTCTCAGAATTTCGTCGCGATCCAGCAATGTGTTCTCGAAGAAAGAAAAAAAATTACGAAGATAAAAACCCGATAGTGCTGAATACCAAAGATGTCGCCATCAGTGATACTAAAGATAAACAACGGTCTCTAGACAGTTATCTAAGGGTAAACAATTCACCTGTCAGGTTTAAAGCTAATGGAATACAAACCAATGTCCATTGTACATATG